GCTTGACACCGCTACCTGCCCGGAGGGGAGGGGCACGCACGAGCGTCAGACCAGATCCCTGGCGATGCATCGTCGGACAGGGATAGGGAAAAGGTGGTACCCTCGAGCTTCACGTCGCAGATCAAGCAATACGAGGTACAGTTGCGCATACGGCCGAGCATGTAGGTCATCACCCAACCCAGGAAGTTGTGCTTCGCCTCTGCGGCGCAGCCATTCACGACAAACCGGTCGGTCAGTCAGACGACTTGGCTCACGCCGCTGGTTGGTGTCAAGCGTACCTTCGGACGAGCTGAGCTCGGCAATGTCGACGTGTCCGCCCTGCGAGTTGAGGAGCTTGATGGCCTTGGCCTGCGTAGTCGTACATAATGCGAGTGCACACCCATGGGTCAGTACACGGCATTCGTGTGCGCTGGAGCGCGCGTGCGTACAAAGTCGTTGTCGGTGATTTCCAGGGCATTGGCAGCAGCGAGCTGATCGAATCCCTGCTTCACCAGGTTGCCGACATCGTTCGTGCGGAGCTTCATCTGTGGTTTCGACGCAAAAAGTCTTTAATAAGGCTTGGGGCTTCCGCCGAGAAGATTGGTTGGTTGATTGCTTCGAAACGCACCTTGGCCACCTCCTTCTTCTCGGTGGTCGACGGCAGGGAGACGCCCATCTTACGCTTCGGCCAACTCTCCTGCAAGCGCCCGCATGGTGAACCAGTGTACGGGCGCGCTGTGCCATTGCGGTTTTTTGCTTTGGGGGGGGGGAGCACTAACTACCTTCATGAACTTCTGAGCAATCTGGGTGAGCTGGAACTCGAGAGCGAAGCGGGGGTTCTTCAACTGCTTCACCTCCACCTTGGGCACCTGTGGTCGGTCGGAAAAGTTACACCGCGAGCGGCATTGGTTAGTACTGTCAGTGGTGCCCAGTGGGCTGGTTCAATTCAAAGTACCGTGTCGTTTTCGAGGTAGCCCTCGCCGAACGAGATGATGACGGTGATGGGCTGTTCGCGATCAACGCCCATGGCCTCGGCGGCGTTCTCCTCGAAAAAGTGGGCATCGACGAACAGGCGAACCACGCCCAGATCGCGCCACACCTGTCGGCAATCGCGATTGCAACACACCCGTGCACGCGCACAGCCACGCACACGCGCAAGGTGAGCGCAAGTGCATACGTGCAACAGGAGGGGGGAGGTAGGGACATACGCTTGCGCACTCGCTGCCGAACACGACCTGCAGCTGTTTGACGTGCTTCTCGAGCACTGTCTCCTCCTACCCGTTACGACGGCATTCACGAATAAATAAACCAGTGGCCGATGGCATATCTCTGAAAGAGGGGGAAGAAATGTACCGCGGGCATGTCCCAATCGTATTCGTCGTCGCTTCCACAGTCGCTGTCGTCGTAGTAGTCTTCGTCTTCGTCTTCGTCATCCGTCGGCTGCACCAGAAGCACTCAAGGTGAGCGAGGCTTCATGAGACGCACCCACCATCTAAATTTGATGATGTGGGGGGGCGTACCACAGTAGCGCTGGCGGTTCTCCAGGCCTTGCCCAAGGCTTGCGAGAGGCCCAGCTTGGACTTGCGCAGGCCGCCATCGTCGACCTTGCCCTTGCCCTTGGTGTCCACCTTCTCCGTGTGGGCGTCGGGCGCCGCCTCGGTGCCCTTCGGCGCGAGCTGCGAGGCCGGNTGGCCGCCATGAACTGCGACTTGTTGAGCGAACGATCGAAGCCTACACACCAGTAGG